AGAGAAGAGAGCATCATCTGACAGGACAAGCTCCATCCTTGTACCTATTTTTCGAACAGTTGAAAGGGGTTTGAGCTGAGAAGAAATGACTTAAGTTGTAGAACTGTGAAATTTGTGAGACTGAATGGAACTGACATGCTCATGAAGAAGTCACACACACAAAAAAACAGGCCTTAAATTCCGGTGCCTCAGGACAACAGCATTCCCAAGGAAGGTTGGCATGCACTGATGCCTGGAAGCAGAGCCTTGGAAAGGTCTTGAAAGAACTGGAGCCTCAAGATCCCTCCCAAGTGCTCTCTCCATGCTCATCTGACTGCTTTTTCAGGCCAGACCAGGCCCTGGCTCTCCTGCCTGGTGAAAAAGATAGAAAGGGTTAAGACAAAAAAAAGATCCCCCAAAAGTAGCTACTTGTGGGGGATACAGGGGCTGGCTGAATGCTGACTGGGCTTTTTGCTTTTTACCCATCCAACAAAAGTGCCGCTCAGCCTCCTGGCTTGCCCATTGTGCTCTAACTGAAGTGCTGAGTCCAAGGGCATCCCTGGCCCCATGACCTCACTGTCTGACCTGATGGACCCAGGGGGTCCAGACCAGCCGCGAAGTTCTTTAGAGCATAGACGATTCTTGGCATGTAACCTTGGTGTCAAGAAGCCTAAGGTTCAAGCTGCCCAGTTTACAATCGAGGAGTTGTTACGTTCCTCTTAATGTCAGTCCTCATCTAGTAGCTTGTCCTACTAGACAGACAGTTGCTCCAGCTGCTTGTTCAGTTAAGTGGGCTGAGAACACGGCTACGACCCATGTACCCGATAGAAAACTAGACAGAGGGGCTAGAAAGCAGCTCAGTGGAGGAGCACATGTTTATCATGAGGTACTTCTATCCCCAGCACCAAAAGAGAGAAAGAATGCACAAATGTACTGCTGAAATCAAACACAGAACAATACTGAAAAAAAACCCAACTAAAAGAATATGATCTTTTCCAAATTCAGAGAAGACATTTTTTAATCTGATAAATTTTTCTATAATCTTTGCTGTTTACTCCCACTTGTCTCTATAAGAATCTAGTACAAGACTATATCTGATTTGGTATAATTAATAAAGCAGTTACCATTTATTGAGCTCTGAGTACCTAACACTGTCATAAACATCTTTATCTTCTTTCATCTGACAATAGGGTAAGGTAGGAATTATCATCTTACTTCATGCCAGAAAGAAAAAAAAAAAAAAAAGGGATTTGGAATCAGATAGACATGCAATGAAGTCTCTGCTAGATTCCCTGGCCTGGAACGTAGCCTCTCAGAACCACAGTTTACTCATCTGTACAATAGATATTACCGTGCTTGACTTCATCAGGTAGTTCCAAGAATTAGAAAGGTACTGCCTGGTTGCAGCCCATGCTTTATAAGCTGGCATTAATGTGGTTAAGGATGAGCAGGAGAGAACCAAATCCAGTCTGGGGAAAAGGATTACAAACTAGTTACAGTACTTCTTTCATTCCTACTTCCTCAGTGTCCTTTGCCCTAACTTTCCTAAAAGAGAGGGCCTGAGGGCTGGAGCTCCAAGGCCATGAACAACATGGAACAGGTGTAGGTTCCAGAAAATGTCAAGAGAGAGAGTCCTTTAGGGCTTCATCAAAAATGATATTGAGAAGATAGATGTGGTGGCACACACCTGTAATCTCAGCACCTGAAAGGCCGAGGCAGGAGGATTGCTATGACTTTCGGGCCAGCCTGGGATACAAAGTTCAAGGTCAGCTGGAAGGAACTACATAGCAAGACCCTGTGTCAAAAACCAAAAGCCTAAAAAAAAAAAAAGTAAAAGGGGCTGGGGATTTAGCTCAGTGGTTCAGCGGCCTGCCTTGCAAGCACAAGGATCCGAGTTCAATCCCCAGTACCAAAAAAACAAAAAAACCAAAACAAAACCAAAAAAAAGGTCTGGGATTTAGCTCAGTGGTTCCGCCACCTGCCTCACAAGCGCAAGGACCCAAGTTCAATCGCTGGTACCAAAAAAAAAAAAAAAAAAAAAAAAAAAAAAAAAAAAAAAAAAACACAAAAAAAAAAAAAAAAA